ATATATTTACATATAATTATTAGACTATACCATGCTTACCATTACAGATGAAGTTTCTGCAGTCCCTGTACTCCGTCTGTCTGTTAACGGGAAAACACAATATGACTTTATTTAATAAAAGATTCAGTGCTGTTATGTGTTAGGATGTAGCTACAGGCAGATTTAGTGCACTAGATGACTATATATCTACCATACACACAGAATAGCGACAGCATCAATCAGTTTACAGTAGAATTTAGAAAATATTTTCCTACATGAATCAAATGTTTTAGACATACTATTGCTTGATATACTGATCCTGTAAATGTTTTTGTCATATGCGTCTCTAAGTTTTGGAATGGAGATCTTACCATTTTTACCAGTTTTGTGTAAGTACTTTGTAAGTGAACCATGTATTTCAGTTTTTTTTGTTTCCTTTCACTATTCATTCATTAATTCATTCATTCGTTCATCCATCCATCCATCCATCACCAACAGGCTATTTAAATCAGAATGTTAATAATGGGAATAATTCTGGGTTTCATGTATGTAGTATTTTTGATACTTAGTTAGTTATTAGTTTGTTAAAATTCTTAGCGGTCTCTATAGCAATTAACCAGGTTCCCAGATTGATTTAAATCTTTACCTTGGCATAAACAAACAGAGAAGACCACGGCCATAGTCAGCAATACCGCCCCACAGCCACAGTACAGAATCCACAGAGTTCTTTGATTCAACTCTGAAAGATTAACCATGATCAGAGTATAATGAATAATTCATACACTAATGTTTTAGCATGCACAGGGTTCTATAGTTAACACAAGGATTTAGTCTATTGGTAGTCTTTAAATTGACCTAATATAGCTTGCCTGAATGTACAAGAAGTGATTTTTTCCCCCCACTTGTTAATACAACAGACATTACATTTAAATTTAGGGTTAACACTTTAGTATAGGGACCAATTCTGCTAACTAGGTGCTTTTTTAGCATGCCTATTATTAACATATTGGCTGTTTATTAGTACTTCTAAAGCACATGTTCTGCATGACCATATTCTACATCGCTAATCCCACCCAATTAAAACTTTACTGTTACTTCGACAATTAGAGCGACTGCTGGTCTTGTTTTTTTAGAATTCTGAAAATAAATAGAATAAAAGAGGGCAATAATGTGTACAATTTTTCACGATGTTTCGCTGCAATGACTCTGTAGTACAGCAGCTTACTATGATGGTAATATTAATTTTAGCAAACAGGCTGCAAAGTAGCACTTACAACTGGTTTCATGTTTCATATAATGTAGAAGTGGTTATGGTTTGATATTGCTTTAATCTCACCACTAATACTGTTTGATGTAGTTCTTAGGTTATATTGTGCTGATGTATTCTGTACGTTAGGCATCCTAAATTCAATTCTGAGTGGCACACAACCCTGATACAGAGACAAGAGCTGCAAAATGATGGCCATTTAGCACAAACGAAAAAAGAAAAGAAGAAAAATGTGCTGGTAATTTTATGTACATGCAATGAAGTGCAAATTTAAAAATACAGCTAAACAAAAATTCAATACTGAGGTTATGGTTTGATATTGCTTTAATCTCACCACTAATACTGTTTGATGTAGTTCTTAGGTTACATTGTGCTGATGTATTCTGTAGGCATCCTAAATTCAATTCTGAGTGGCACACAACCCTGATACAGAGACAAGAGCTGCAAAATGATGGCCATTTAGCACAAACGAAAAAAGAAAAGAAAAGAAAAGAAGAAAAATGTGCTGGTAATTTTATGCCAGGACATTATCCATTAATTTTACAGACATGTACATGCAATGAAGTGCAAATTTAAAAATACAGCTAAACAAAAAGTCAATACTGAACAAAACTCAATCAAATTAACACACATTGTGCCATATTTTTGCAGGTTTTTTTTTTTTTTCAATTCTTTTAATGGATTTGTTTGTGTTTTCCGCTGCAAGCTGAGAAGCTGTTCTTCTTGCCGGTAAACTCTCTGCTTTCTGAAAATCTTTGTACAATCTGGATGCAGTCACTTGTTTTAATCTAACCACAGGGGTGTGAGATGAAAAGAGCAGCATGGTGTGAGAACGGCCAATGCTCAACGCCCACACCTTCACTCACAAACTGACAGTACTGTTCCTCCACCCTGCACTTCAGACAGTGTCCAGTGTCAAGCTAGTAAATATATGAATTATGTAACTGCATGTTAAAACAGGTCACCCGAACATGAAAATGAAAAATGACTTGCTTCCTCCTGTGAAATGTGAATTTGTCCATGCAGTGTTGTTTAACATTTTTGAACATAAAATAAATTAAAATGTATAAATGATTCATTTAAGCTTGACATTTTGCTCTAATTCAACTTACATGTCAATATGTCAACATTAACCCATTTTTCATTGTATTCAGTAAAAATAGAATCATTGGTCTTGTAATTTTCATAAAAAAAATTAAGGTGATAATTAAAAATAGTGTGTATATTTCATTAAAGAAATTGTGGTTCAGTGTTGTATAGAAAATATTGAGGACTTTTCACTAATAAAACCAAGAGATGTGTTTTTTCCCTAATTTTTTAAAAAGGAAACAAGCAGTTTTGCGGCTTGAATTGAGGAACTGATTAAACTGAAAAAAATACAAATAATTAAGGAAAGAAGTCTACCTATTTATTTTAAGAGAATTAGCTCAATTTTGCAGTTTTATTTTAGCGGTGATTGTTAGCTCCCAGCATGCTTTGCATATGGCTGGATATGGAGAGTAAATATTGAAATTAAGTGCTATTTTATGTGTTTTTGAGTGAAGGGAAACATCTATTAATGTTTAGTGTTCAGTTATGTTTGACATTTGTTTCTGTCGTTACCATTGTGCAGAAGAGTAGAGCTTATGGTTATGGATATGAGGCATTATGCCTTGTTCAGTGTGATTTGCTATGCAGTGTTTTCCAGGATTTATCAAGTAATTTACTTCTTGAGCGGTCTGGCTGTATACAGCCTTTTAAATGCACAAAATAACTCGAAGTCACAGACTTTAAAGAATTAACTTAAAATAAATGAGCACATTTCACTAATTATATTTATTTCATTATGTCATAGATTAATGGATTCAGGAGATTTTACATGAGTTATTCAGGTAGATTCCATAAAAAAATCAAGCCTTAAAAACTACTTTAAAATATTATGTGTAGATAGCTCAAACCATAATGTTTTTTATTTTAAATGCTTTGTTAATACAGATGTGCAGACTAATTTTATTTATTTATCATATTTCATAACACTCTCAGTGTGTATATTTACATACTGTAGGGATGGAGGGAAGGGAAGGAGAACATTACATGACAATATAAGGCATAATTCAGAACGTTTCATACCAAGGCTTTAGTAATGCCAGTGGATTTGCTGCAAAAATGGACAGTGAAAGCAGGTTTGCAGCTCTGTTTCATGAGACCCTTGTCTCTTCTAACATCCTGTTATGCAGCTTCAGTCTAACCACAAGCTGCCAAATGGGAGTGTGAAGGCTACAGCAAGAGGCCATACATTTCCTGTTTCATGCACTGTGGGTTTGCAACCAATCACAAAAAATAATAATACAAATAAAAAAATACATACAATATGACATCAATCTCAAATATATGTTGCCTGCATTATTATTTATAATAAAAAATAGCATTACTATAAGATGAATTTTAATCTGATGGGCCACCGGGCCACTTTTGTAAAGAAAAGTTGCACACATAAGGGATATAGGACAGAATTTTCAGAAATCATTCTAATTTGCTGATTTGCCGCTCAAGAAACATTTACTGTTATGATCAGTGTTGAAAACTACTGTAGAAACTATGATAGGATTCTTCAACAGAAAATTATATTATAAAATTATATGTATACCTTGTTGGAAACAGTGATGACCTACAGAGGGCCAAAATTAAACCTATTTTCAAATGGACAAATCTTTATTAGAAAAAAAAATCAGATAAAATCAAACTTAAAAAAAAAACACGCACACACATATGTAGGAAACCGTTCCTAACTAATAAATATTCATGACCATGGACATTATAAAAAAAGAGGAACAGGCTATCCTGTTGTTTTAAGATATAAGTAAACAATATATTTCATTTCTGAATATTTCTTTTAGTAATTTTTTTTAGCATACTCCAACATTTCCTTCTCCTCACTGAAAACAGAAGAAAGAAAATCCCAAGTATGTGAGAATGATCCTTACAAGTGTTACTTTGTAAGCTGTAATTACTGTAAGGGTACTTTGCAGTTTCATTTAATTCATATAATTAAAAATTCTGCTTTTGCATTACCTTTATTCTTTTGATGGACCAACATCCTGACCATGACTGATGGGATCCCCCGAGAAACACTGGACAAAATATTAACATCATAAAATACGAGCTGAAGTACCGGTTTATAAAATTACCAACAGTTTCTTTTCTTAATTAAAAGTTTGCAAAGCATTTTGCCCCCCAACAATAGTTGCAACTTGCTCATGCTCTTAAGATTATTTTATCTGTTGTCTGTTTGCTTGAAGGAACAGTTTACTCCAATTAATAAATATTGACCGCTCAATAATCAAGTGATCCAGAGAGCCATGTAATAAAAAGAAACACTTAAAAAAAAGTAGAAAAAGAAATTCCATGACATTGATGACCACCTCTGTCAAGCTCCAAAGAGGACCAAAAGCACAATTAAAGTAAGGAATATAAAATGCTAGTCCAAATCATTTGAAGACAAAAACTGAGAGGAACAGACCAAAATTTAAGCCATCATTACTGAAAATGTGTTTAATTTTCTGTTCTACACATTTGAACTGGAATGCCTGCATGCACGCCAGAACACACAGCAATGCCAAAGATTTTTTTCAGTCTCAATTTGTTCCTCGTGACTTTAGAAGACTTAGAAAATAGAGCAAGTCACGTTTTTAATATACATACTATTTTACTACTATTTATTTACTTGCCTTTTTTTTTTAGGTACAAACATTTTAGGCTAAAACTTTTACCGATATCACCAATGAAAGTTTATTATTTCAGTAATAGTTGTTTTGAAACAGCAGAAACAGTCTTTCATACAGTGTCCTGCGATCCACTTCAATGTTCACCATCTTCATTTACCATAACAGGTGAACTCTCTTTTCTCAGTGTGCTCTGTTTACCTGATAAAGAACAAATAAATAAACACATTCATTTGTCTGCTGCTGTTTTCCTTGACTATTTCTTTATGTAATATAGCTATTATTGCATATATTGTGAGTATTAAATGCAGCATTATCACATTAGGATATACAGTTTTAGCTTAGAAAGGTAATTTTACCATATGAAATTTTGCGATGGGCATCTTTTCTCGTGAGCCTAAAATGAAAAATATTTTACGTGTTGGTTAAGTTACTTTGTATTACATTAGTTTTGCAGTTTTTAAGTTTATAAATTATATGTTGTAATACTGACCGTCTGGATTTTTTGGTCATCAGCATATCTGAGAATTGTAATGAAGAAAATAAAATGTATGCCAAGATGTCACATATAATCAGCTGGACAATTTCAGCAATACATTTTTAATTTTAATTCACAATTATTGATTTTATGTTACTGTAATTTTCAATTTTGATAAATTTTTGTTATTTAAGTTGTCATAGGCCTATAGCTATTCTAACTATTTAAAAAAAGTAAATATATATAGATATATATACATATACATTTTTTGCATTTACACCAGTGTAGGCTAGGCATAGAAAATCAGTAGCGTTAAATTCTTACCTCTGTATAATGCCACAGACATAATGACAGTTATAAGTATGGTAAGGAGCGCTGCCACACAGCCAGCGTACACAAGCCACGAGAAGATTTCAGGCTGGGGTCCTGAAACATAGCAATGAGCACAGGAATTAAAACTAGATATAGCTATTAGTTCATTAATAACCATAACTGTAATGCTGTAACATTGGGCAGTATGTAGCCTAACTTGTTGTTACCAACTTTTCAACCCAATCTCATGAAAGTGCGTATAAATAGTACGCCAAATAAAAACGAAAACTCGTCCTATTGATACGCAAAAATGGACTTTGGCGTGTATATGCTATGCGATGAGTAGGTTTAGGGTTGTGGGGTAGATGCGTATCATATGCACGCGAAAACTGCGTATTATATGCACGCCAAACACATGCGTATCATATGCACGCCAAAGTCAATTTTTGCGTACCAATACCACGAGTTTTCGTTTTTATTTGGCGTACTATTGATACGGATTTTCACAAGACCGGGCTCCTTGATTTCGTGATTTTTCCTTTCTTCTAGAGTAATTAAAAAATAAATATATAAGTACTTAGTTTTAATGGATGCATATTTTTACAGTGTAAAAAGAAACTGAGCGGACAGTATCATTCGTAGACCTGACCATTTTCCTGTTCTCTGAGACTTTCATCATTTACGCACCGCTTCGCGTCAGAGTTTTGGAGATGCTCTCGCCATCATATTCAGCAAAGCACTGAATTTCTCCGGCTTTATTCCACTCCTCTGCAGGAACAGAGAGATGAGCCCGTGTGAACTCTGTGGCTGAATCAGTGTCGTCTGTCCAGCCGGACTCGGTCCATCCAGCACGCTCATTCTGTCCAATCTTCCAGAACACACGCACCTGAGACGGGACAAGTCCAGTCACGAGACACTGCAGTGAAACCGATGGTGAGTCAGGTTCTTGTGGTGTGTATAAGATGGATAGTTCTGGTTCAGAACGATCTAAAGCAGAGAACAGCAAGTCAAATTCTGCTTGTTTTAGTAACTTTGATCCTAAAAAAGTGTGATGAGACTTGACTCCAGATTTAGGCCTACCTGATACGATCACCCTGCTCCCATTGCCGATCACAGCCATTTGGTTATAATGGCTAATACAATAGTACATGCCTGAATCTTTCAGGCTTAAGTTATTAAGAGTCAAAGCGCATGTTTTATCATCATGTTGTTGAACTTTATTCTCATGGTTAGTATTCACAGTCGTGAGTTTTCCAGTCCGTAGATTCAACTTTTCCCATGCAGCAGCATTAAAACAGTAGTCAACGGTCTGCTCAAATATACATCTTAATTCTACAGAACCGTCGACTGAGTCGTGTGTGAGTCCTGGTGACTGAGTCAAGATGAACGAGTGAGTAGCTGCAAATGAGAGAATAAAAAAAACACGTTTAAAATGTTTCCGAGTTTTGTATTATGACTAGAATATTAGATTAAATAGTTAAACTCTTTGAAATTAACAAAAATACATGTGATACTGTTCTAAGCGGAAAATGCAGGCAAAATGCAAAAAAAAAAACTTACTGTGTGAAGCAAAAAGGCAAGAACATAACAGCGTCCAAAGATGCGTCCAAGTACCCATGGTTATATTTTCAAGTGTCTAGAAAAATATCTGATGTTACCTCTTTTAACTTAACAAGGCAATCATACAATGAAACGCCTCCCAGTTTGACTGAAAACGGCCTGTAAGGAGAAACAAAATAAGAAAGAAAAACCTTACAAGTCTCCAGTGGGTGGACCCTCATTGCCTATAAATCACATGTGCAAAAGCTAGTCCTACACCTGTTTACATTGTGCGTTAGTTTCCCAGTTGTCTCGGCCTCTTGAAGGTGCTAATTAGTTATACTGGTCATGATGCTTTAGGAAAACATGTTGCCGAGATAAAATAACTTGCTGCATATGCTTAATTTAGAGTTTCGGGAAATGGGGTCATGGGGCCATATTACATGCATCTCAGAATGACTGCTTAATTCACTTCTCTGTTGCTTTTTTATAGTTTCCTTACTTTGGAAGTACAATGTGTCAGTCTGCTGAGGCCTGTTAATATTTGTCATTCCATACATGATGTGTTTGTCAAGACATAACCCTGCTTAATGAACTCAGAGACCAAAAAGGACATTGTGTTGATGTGGTATTGCTAACATAGACAAGAGCTCCTAGTGATAGAGGTTTGATGTTTCAGGTTAATATATTTCATATATTATCCACAAAGTCACTGTTGCTCTATATTGCAGCGGTTTCTCTGTGTTGCACAGATCTACAGATTTTTTTCGAGAAAGGTCAATGCAGACTGAGCAGGTGTTCTTCTTGCCGGTTGACTCTACTGTGTCTGACAATCTGCTGTAATTCTGAATGCAATCGCATGTTTTTGATCTAACCACACGGTTGCGAGATAAAAAGAGAAGCATGGTGAGAGAAGAATGGCCAATGCTCAACGCCCACACCTTCACTCGCTTACTGAGTCTGAGACATTTCTCCACCATGCACTTCAAATACCCACATGTGCAATGTCATGTTAAAATGCCATTCTATAAATACATAAATATACATGTTGAGTCTGTTTCATGAGACCCTCATCTCTAACATCCTGCTGTGAATGCATTTCTTTACTTTGGTCTAACCACACGGGGTTCAGATGACAGCAGAGGCCCACACATTGTCTTGTTGGCAATGCACTGTGGTTTTTCAACCCATTACAAAAGTAGGCTATAGCCTATACTCACAAAATCTCAAATCATTTATGAATGCATTTAAAAAGTCTATTTTTTCTTTGCTAAGACAAAGTGAAATATATGATATACACAATATATTATTGTGTGCATTTTGTTATACAGCCTGCAGTTTCATATTTTTTAAAGTTCATACTGACTCTGCTTCTTTCACGCTCATTCGATATTGCTGGCATTATTTGGATTCATTTTGATAGAATAGAAGGATTTTTCTCATTTCTGGTCAACATTCTAAAAAAAACAAATAGCCAATATCACTTACTTTTGCCCTCACTCTGACTCTTCTTTAAGATGCATGTTACAAACCTTGGACTGAAGAAAGTTTACATTTGTAGTCAGTCATCTAATTCTGGCCGTTCTGCCGTCCCGTTCCGTGTTGCAGGAGTCAAAATGGCATGTACAGCTTGTTCAGTGAGTGAAATGTAATTGTAAATAAGTGCAATGTAAATAAAACAATCACAAACTGTAATTTGCAGTCTTTCACTTATAGATTACGTCTTTAATCAATTCACAGACAGTTGCATTTTGTAAGAAATGTAATTGTCTTATAAATAGGATAAACAAGTAACACAGTAAAACAAGGCAGCATCGACAAACACTTTTGAGTGATCCATGTTCATCGACAGATAACACTGCAGCAACCCCTGCTAAGCAGGCAAAGCTTGATTTTACATCGGCAGTGCAGAAAGTGTCCGAAGGTGAGCTAAAAAAAAATTATTGCAGGCTCATAGTGGAAGAGATGCTACCGCTGCGTCCGGTAGAATCGCCGTCTTTTAGGCGCATATTAAACAAAATACCTGTGTGTGGTAAAAAGGAAGCCCTGCCTGATCGAAAAACATTTTCGTATTACTTAGATAAGTGTTACACAGATATGGAAATTGAGCTTAAGAAGACATTCGAGAGTTTGGAATATATTTCCACGACTGCCGACATTTGGACGAGCCATAACACAAGTTTTCTCGCAATGACCGCACATTGGATTGATCCTTATACTTTTGTTCGTGGACATGCTGCATTAGCTTGTAAAAGAGTTAGAGGGAGACACACGTATGATGAAATCCAGCAAGTACATTCTGCTTATGGATTTAATTCTAAAGTGACAGCAACTGTGACAGACAACGGGGAGAGTTTGGAATATATTTCCACGACTGCCGACATTTGGACGAGCCATAACACAAGTTTTCTCGCAATGACCGCACATTGGATTGATCCTTATACTTTTGTTCGTGGACATGCTGCATTAGCTTGTAAAAGAGTTAGAGGGAGACACACGTATGATGTAATCGCCAATGAAATCGAGCAAGTACATTCTGCTTATGGACTTAATTCTAAAGTGACAGCAACTGTGACAGACAACGGGTCCAATTTTATCAAAGCTTTTAAAATGTTCGAACAATCAGATTTTGATGAGGAGTCAGAGGAAGATGAAGAGGTGACATCTGATGTTGAGCAGGTTCTCTCTGATGGACAGTTTTCTCTCCCTCCACACTTAAGGTGTGCGTCACACACACTGAACCTCATTGTGATGTTGAGAAATGGCTTAAAGCAAATGAGTCCAAAGTCATCTACAGAAATGCTGTTTCGAAGTGTTCTGCTCTATGGACAAAGGCAAACCATTCTTCTGTGGCTTCAGAGTTAGTAGAGAATTTTTTTCTCAAAAAAACAAAATAGTGCCTACTTCAACACGATGGAATTCATTTCACGATGCCCTGTCCAGGATCACTGACATTTCAGTTGCTGAGTTAAATACTGTTTGCACTCAGTTTGGAATAAAATGCTTCACGGATCGGGAGTATCTGTTCCTAAAGGAATATTGTATTGTGTTGAAGCCACTGACTGTAGCACTAGACATGTTGCAAGGAGAAGATAAATGCTATCTTGGAACACTTCTTCCAACTCTGGAGACTCTAATGTCCAGGACACTGGCACACTGTGGGATGAGTTTAGGATGACAGCATCTCTCCCTGATGTCATTGTTCAGGTAATCTTAGTTTATACAGATTGCTCAATTTTTGGTTTACCCATGTCTTAAATAAATGTTACATTATCTGTCATACTCTTGTATAATGTGAAAAGTCTGATGTATTTTTTTTCTTCCTGATAGGCAATCAAGGTACGCTTTGCCTCTATGATGGACAATAAAGAAGCTCTCCTGGCTGCAGTCACTTTGCCCAAATTTAATTTGGATCTTCTCTGGATCAGAGAAGAAGAGAAAAAAGACACTGTTAGGGCAATGCTTACGACAGAGTGCCGTGGGTTGCCTCTTGAAGACCAACAGCATAATACTCAACACCACAACAAGTCTGCTAACTCCAATGATGACTTTTTTTCATTCGAGGAGGAAGATTGTGCTGAAACAGAGGTCAAGGATTATTTGAAATCTGCAGGGTCTGAGCTGGGTGTTCTTGGACTGTTTCCCAGGATTAAGGTCATTTCACTCAGGTACAACACAGCCACACCATCAAGTGCACCAGTGGAAAGGCTTTTCAGCCTGGGCAATCTTGTGCTCACCCCCAGAAGAAATAGACTGTCAGACAAACGTTTTGAGAGACTTACATTAATGAGATACAACCAGCTTTTCAAAAGCAGTGCAGTCAGCTGAACACTAGAAATTAGTTACTTTTTCGAAAAACATGACAGCATACAGTATGTATAAAATATGGTGTTCTTACTTTTGAAAAATTTTATGTTTACAGCCTGGATTTTGCGGAGTAATTTTTTTTTGTTATTCAAATATGTTGCAAAGGAATTCTGTACAAATGAGTTTTTGTTGAAAAACATGACGGCATAAAATATGTATAAAATATGGTGCTCTTAGTTTTGAAAAAATTTAATGTTTACAGTTTGGTATTTTGCAGAGTAATTTAATTTGTTGTTTTCCAATATGTTGCAAATTAATTCTTTAGAAAGGAGTTTATTTTGTTGAAGAACATGACAGTATACAGTATGTATAAAATATGGTGCTCTTAGTTTTGAAAAATGTAATGTGTACAGCTTGGTATTTTGCAAAGTAATTTATTTTTGAGGAATTCTGTTAAAGGATACATGTTTTAATAAAGCTAAAATGTTGGCTTTAAACTATTCCATGTTTGACTCTATTGACCATGTGTGTTTCTACTGTCTATACAGTCAATGTTTATAGGGATTTTACAAAGTAATTCGTTAAATTACTTATTGAGTAATTAAATTACTTTTCAGACACCGTAATTAGTAAAGTATTTTAAATACAACATTGATGGTGTAATTAGTAATTAGTAATTAATTACTTTTTTTAAAGTAACTTACCCAACACTGAATCTCATGCAGCATTTATGAACAATATTTTGGAAAATTCTCATGTCCAAGCAAAATATTCCATAAACATAACAGCTGTGATGTGAGATTTCCTCCAAAGAGAAAAAATATCGACAACATTATTTTTGGGGGGGTTGGGAGGCTCTTCGGAGCCTGTGCCCAATTCTGACTCCCCATGTCAGAATGCATGCTTGCTGAATTCTGAAATTCTGAATCCTGTCAGAATGCACGCATGCTGAATTTGAGCCTGAAATAAAAAGTGTGTAAAGACACGGATAAAAGGACCTCACCATTACATCTGATAATGAATGTCACAATTACCGCTATATGAACTCCAAAGAATTTTGGAAGAATTAATTGTATTACACTTGACAAGAGCGCTCTGTACAATCAGAACAACTTGGAGGCGAACTAGGCTACTCCCATCACCAAAAATGAAGAGGAATAAGCTAATTATACAGTCTAAAACGGTTTTATTAAAATAATAATCAAATCAAATTTGCTGTATGTCATATGACTAAATCAACCGAGTTACAACAAAGAGTTAGATCAAAAAAGAAAAAGCCCCACCTGCATCACTCCTGCTGATGTTCATGCGCATTCTGATTTATGAATGTTCGTTTTCAATCACTTTAAGCATGCATAGACTGTAAAAAATGACCGTGAATTTAACAGTAAAAGACTGTAAAAATGCTACAGTAAAAACCTGTGAAATGGTTAACGGTAAATTCTCCTACTATATACGGTGAAAAACGGTATTGGACATTACATGTATTGGACTTTAATTTTACGGTAGTATACCGTGTTTGGAAGTGAAAAAGACTGTAACCGTAAATTGACATTGCCAGAATTCCCTGCGTTACATTTCAAATTTGATGTTTTTTTGTTGTAATAACTATGTTTCTTCTTAGTTTTTTCTTATCAGTTTTGTATATTAGGGTTGTGTATTACACCTAATGTTGTTAAATTAATGTTTATTGCATTATTTCAGTTTCATGTGTGTTACCATGATGCTGTTTAGTGTTTGTGTGAATGACATTGTGCACCTTCTATATATGTTATGTGACGAGCGTCCCGAGGCTTCATCAGCGTCACCCTGGAAACAAGCGAGGAGCACCTGGCCATCATCATCACAGGCTGATCGGCAGAGGCGGACAGTAACTAAGTACATTTACTTGAGTATTGTACTTAAGTACACTTTTTGAGTATCTGTACTTTACTTGAGTATTATTTCTTCTGGAAACTTATGACTTTAACTTCACTACATTTGAAAGACAAATATTGTACTTTTCACTCCACTACATTTCTATCAAGATCCTCGAAGTAGAAAGGTGCACACACTGTCAGAGCTGTGTGAGATCACTACCATCCTGCTTTTGTGGGGGTGGGTAGGGGTGTTAATTTTCCCCTATAGGTTTTTAACATTCTAAAAGCTCTTTATTCCAAAGATACTACAAGCTAGTCAGTGTATTCAGCAGGTGTAATGTATTCTAAGTTGCTTCAGAAGTATTGCAGGTATTATGTACAACAATAAAACAGTGCATTGACATTAAAAAGGAAATGTACTTTTGGTACTTAAGTACTTTTAAAAGCAAGTACTTCTGTACTTTTACTTAAGTAAAAATCTGTCTTTACAACTTTTACTTGTAATGGAGTAATATTTGACCAGCGGTATCTGTACTTTCACTCAAGTAATGGAGTTGAGTACTTTGTCCGCCTCTGCTGATCGGTCACAGCTACACTTCATCAGGCGGCGGCTACTTAAGCCACGCAAGCCCTGCCATCTAGGAGATTCCTCCATGAGACTGAGCACTAACTCGCCCTCTCATTTTCCCCACAGAAAGCAGCATGTGACCGACCAGCCCCACAGGAGCACTGCACGGACCCTCTGCACTGGGAAGACGGAAGAGAGCACTCACGGCACCGGAGCACCTACCTGGACCTTTCTCACGAGCACCCCTCACCCCAATAAATCCACCTCCGGGGTATTGATTGAGATTTCTTGTTGTGTGATTCTACACCCCCTTACAGTTATTATTTAAAAGCTGCTTGTGATGGGCTTTGGTTCATCATGTGACTTTCTCATCACCACCTGCATTTGGTGGCTATCAGTGTATTACAAAGGTACAAAACAGATTTCAGTACTTCAATAGGTTGGTATATTAACATTATATCAGTTAATGAAATTACGGGATTTAACTGTAAATTTAAGTTAAAACCGTAAAACCTAAAACGTTGCTACCGTATTTTTTACGGTAAAATTCGGGCAAACACAGCTGCCGTTTTTTCACCGTAAATTTTACGGTATTTTTTTTACAGTGTATGTTTTACATTAACCCGTAGGCTATTTTAATGCAACAACACATGTTTCATGTCAGCCATGCATTAATTATGAGCTACACATCAAAACATTACAAAGCAGCTAAAATCTTCACATTTCTACACTTGCTGCATTAGTGGATATAGCCTAAGAGAAGTGCACAAGAAACCATTTGCGCGCAGAAGCCAGTTTGAGGTCGGCGCTAAGTCTCAAATCTTCTTTGCTCATATTACTAATCTTACTACCCGCTCCGTTTGCCATGTCCGCTCCTGACCTATACCAGTGAAAGCCTGAGACCACAGTCTGGGTGATTATTCAGCATAGGCTACTGCTTGAATAAATGGCTCAGCAATTTTTGTTTAATTAGGATACAAGTCGGGACAGAATTTTAGAAAGCTGCAAAAGTGGAGGGGTGCAAACCCTGGTTTTCAAGTGAATAATGAGTTCTACATTTAGGTCGCTTTACTCAATGCGGAATGCGCACAGACGGAACAGGTGCGATGAGAGGACAACTCTCTTTCTGTTCCTCTGAGGGACGAATAGTGCTGCATTGTGGTGGGCAAATTTGATATTAAGAATTCGTTATCACGGGGTTGGTGAGGGTTAGTGTTGCTCCGAGATAACAAATGTGCCTTTGAGCTCTTATTGGCCTGTGTTTGAGTTTAGATGACCGCGAATGCTAAATTGAGGTTTCAACCCTTTGGATTCACTTTGATAAGCAAAGAAGAACCTGAGGTCAATGAATTTGAACGAACAAATTTGCTGTCTCGAAAACATCAGGTAAGTTTATGGTTTAATATTTATAAATATGTGTAAAAAAATGCATGTCGTTTATTAGTAAACTAATTATTACCTGCTTGGAATAGGCCTATAGGGTAGCCGTATGCCTTATTCTTCTCACTTTGAGTAGTTCATACTGCATTCAGAAGAATGTTTTGTATAGTTGAGAGTATTTGCAAAATGCCTTAGCAAATTATTCAAAGCATTTGTATTAATAAACAAAGCCTTTTTAAACTAGCTTGTCACATAGGCCTTACTGGTTTGTCTAATACTTGACATATTCATGTTCAAACTGTGACAGTCTTCCTTGTTTGAGTCAACAACAAGAAAGAAAAACAGTTGACTCCCCACAAGTGACTGCAAACCCCTCCCTCATGTTTGCACCATGCACGCTTGCCCATATGATCAAATCATTTCTCTATCATCATCCGGTTGTTAACAGGTCTGCAAAGTTAATAGGTTCTTAGTGGAGTACAGAATAAAACTGTAAGATTAAAAATATTGATTTGATTGCAAATTGTTAGCCAAAAGAGATCGAAGGTTCTAAAATAACTATTAAAGGCTTTTCAAAGTATACCTCAAAGTTTTATGTAATTCTTTATTATCCAAATTCATAATCTGGCATTGAAACGGTGAATGCTCCTTCAAGTGAGGCCTTCTCACTTAAAAATAAGGGTACTTTATTTGCATTGATGGTTTTATGAAGATCCTTTAATGTCCGTGGAACCTTTCTGCACAAAAGGTTCTGTATAAACAGAAAGATTCAAGAATAAAAAATCATTGAAAGACTCTAGGTGGAACCCAGGTTGGTTCTTCTGAATTCATGCATATTTTGGAATCTTTATTTTTAGGAATAGTTCACCTCAAAATGAAAAATTGCTGAAAATGTACTCACCCTCAGTCCAAGCAAGGCTCAGGAAACCTTTGCAGGTGTTTTGAGTTGATTAGCTGATTGGCATGTCACCATATTCTAATTTGTTGAGATAGTGAATTGGTGGGTTTTTGTTAAATGTGAGCCAAAATCATCACAATTAAAAGAACCAAAGACTAAAACTACTTCAGTCTGTGTGCATTGAATTTATTTAATACACGAGTTTCACAATTTGAGTTGAATTCCTGAAATAAATGAATTTTTCCACGACATTCTAATTTATTGAGATGCACCTGTAGATGCGTTTGTTTGTTCATGGGAACAGATTAGCATTACTAGCTCACCAGTGGATCCTCTGCAGTGAATGGGTGCCGTCAGAATTCCAAAAATTCTCCGGATCGCCTGAGTGTGAGTAAATGTTCAGCAAATGTTTATTTAGATTTTTTACTGTGATTTTTAAAAAGGAAAGGGGTTTAGCGTGTTATTCCGTGTTTTACGGCTAGGTGGCGCTGTTATTCTCGTGGACATTTACTTATCAACAGCGTGGACACAATAGATAGACAGAGACGAGCTACATTTGACTCTATGCTCCAGATCTTCGATTTCTTCGAGTAGTAACGTCTGTTTGGGGGTTGCTCGTAATTCAGAAACAGACGGAGGACTATCATAACAACAACACCGGCGCGCAGCACAACAGCTCCCGGAGAAGCACGGGTTTGATGTGAGTACACCAGCGTTAAATCGCTGCACAGCCCAATGAAGTGAAAAATGGGTCGTTCTGTGTATAGTACAATAAGATTGGGCGAATCCAAAAAGTACTGTAGTGTGCGATAACTGATAGTGAAGCATATGTTTGTGGAGAGCGTGGACGGTTATCCAAATCATTTCAAACAGAGTTGAGTTGTGCAATGCAAACTATTGTGTCAAACAAACATTGACCGCGGTGGGTTAATGAACATGTGTTCAGTTAACAGTGTAGAAACTTTGTCCCAAAAATAAATAACACTGAGAACGAGAAAGAAACCGGTGTTTTGCCCTGTATGTCTGTGCAAGCATGTTTTTCAGTCTTGCCTGGTTAAGTTGGTTGTTCTGTTGTAACGTGCTTGCAGAGTCTAGTATGCAGTTTTGTGCCTTAAACTAACAATTATTCAGGTCTTGTACACAGTAGATAAATCATGTAGAGGAGCACATCAAGTTTGAAAGGCATAGGCCTAGCTTCTGTATAAATTCACATTTCCTTTATAAAACCATGTGTCAGGTGCTAGTTCTCAATATCAGGCTGATGTTTTCATGCATATTGTTACTTGGACCTGCAGTAATGCACTTGTTTACTAATTCAGTTCAATAGGTAGTTATACTGCAATGGTGCCTACCTGACCTGTCAGTGTTGAATTACCAGTCAGTGAAAAAACAATTTTGATCAGTTTAATACAGAGGTTTACAAAATGCAAAACTTGAGGAGAACTACTTCATGCATCCACTACCTTGAGTTCAGCAGGTTAAAAGGTCATTGCAAAATGATTCAGAAAAGTGTTGTTTCTTAAGTTGTTTCCGAAGAAGCTCCAGCCGTGTATTTTGAAACTCATTTGAAAGTGATCAAATCTATCTGTCCTCTGAATATTATTAGTCGCATTACTAATTAGGTATTAGTCACTTTCTTCACTCATGTTTTCATTCTTTTCTCAAAACCCACCAGAGCCTGCATGGCGTAGTATCACTGGCTATTTTTGTTTGCTGGATTTTATTCATTAAACATGTGTAAAATGATGTGGGATTCTCACAGGGCTTCCTAACATGACTCTTTTAGCGTTATACTACAGTGCATCAGCAGCACACTGGCTCACACACCTCATAACACCACTGCTGCCTGGTAATCACATCAGCTGTAGTCATGGCAACTGCATATGGGAATGAAAGCTTTCACTGGGAGAGCAATTTTCTTCTCCTTCACTGGCTCATTGCTTTTCCTCCATGGACTACATGTTACCTGCTTGCACGCAAATGCCACCACCGGTTTTTCCTCAGGGTATCGCTGAATGCTCTTCCGGAGGCAGATTTTTCCGCTTCATCTTCACGTAAGGCTTATGTTGATGCCAATGGCTGTTTTTTTCCCCATCAAGCTGTTTTTTTTTTTCTTTTTAGACTCATTAATAGTTTTTGCTTTGCAGCATAGTTCTCAATGTCAGTTAAGCTTATTTTCCCTTCAGTTCTCTTTATCGTGATGCAAAGAAAAAGTCATATTCTTTGTTTATAGTTTTTCATATTCAAACAGTATTTCAATATATTAATACATCATGGTATTATTTGTTGTTATGCTATACTATTTCAACATTATATATGCTTTTTTTTTTGCTCAGTAAAATTACTCTATTTTTATGAGAATAAAAAGTAACGGGAGCAGTAAAAGTAAACTTGAGGATGCATTAAGATTATGAGAATAATTAATTGGAGATAAAATATGTTTAATTGTTTTGGGGGTTTTTTTCCTGTTGATTTTGGCTTGAAATGGGACCTGGACTTACTTACTTATCTACTTACTTACTTATTTACTTATGCAAGTACTTATTTATTAATTCGGTTATATCCAGGGTTTCCCAAACTGAGATACAAGAATCGATGGAAAGCTAATAATAAATTAATTATAAAAATAAGTACTTTAAAAATATTACATATTTAGCTTGTTTACATGCATGTGTGGTCATTAAAACCAAACCAAAAACCAAACATTAAAAAAAAAGTGTTTTCCACTCTTTGCTCTTCTTCAAAGGTCAGATTCTCTCTGAGCAGTCAGACCTGCTTTGATTATCGCTTGTTTTCCCCTCAGGTATTTCCAATGGAAAATGTCCGATTGGATGTTAGACATGCCACTTCTTAATGTAAAATAGTGCAACAGTCCCAGCAATATAATATCTTAAGGCCATATGATTTGTCAGCTGTAAGGGTAATGAAACATGTTTGTTTTGGGTTTTTTTGTACTTCAAAGATGTCCATTAATCATGATTTGTCCATTCATCATCAGTGGTTCTCAAAACCTTGTCCTAAAAAGGAACTACACATGGGAAGTTTACAAAATGTGAAACAACATCTTCAAGTAGTGGGTGAGAGGCTGTAGTTTACATCTCCTTTTTTGAAACATATGGATGTGAAAAGTGTCAAATGATCTTACGGTAAACAAGAAGAGGAACCCTCTCAGTTAAATCAGCCGTTGTTTTATCTTTAGACTCTTTTTGACCCTGTGTTGCTTCCATTCTGAATCAAATAGTGCTTGTACAGGGCTTGTGTGTGTTTCTGCATGCACCTAAAGCTTGTCATGTAAATTCTGTTGGCCTATAGCATGACAGAGGTGTCGATGTATGGAAAGGCCTGTGATGTAAGGTTTGTTGTGTTTATCAGGCTTGCGTGACTTACTACACTAGAGGTGTCACCTGTCAAGCAGTCCTGACACGAACATTGACGCCAGGTTGTGTATTATTTATCAAGTGGCTGAGGGCATTTTTGCACGTGTTATTGTCGGCTGACTTCAGTTCTTTACTGAATATTTTAGTATGTAATATTAAAGTGCCCCTATTATGCCATTTCCAGTATTGCCTTTCATGCAGTGTGTAATGTAGCTGTATGTGAATGTAAACGATCAGCAAAGTTGTAAAGCTGAAAGTGCATGATAAATAAAGTTACTGTGTCCCAAAATAAAGAATCGACTCTGAACAGCTGAAACGAGTCGCTAGTAATTCGAATCCCACTTCCGTGACGGCTACACGTCACGGGTAACACATTTGCATAATGCGCGCCTATGTTCTATGTTGGCCGGAAGCAAACAACTCGACCCCGCCCACAAACACGTCATTTTTACTGACGATTGCTTCTTTAATCTCGGGGGGTTCAATGCGGGATTCACAAAACGCTTGCTGTTAAAAGATGGATCAGTATCCTGTTTATTTGGACCAGGTGCTCCACTGAATCACAACCTGTAAGTATGATAAATAATAGATGTTTTTACTTTCTAGGCCTGGGCGATAAAACGGTATCAATATTTATCGACAGTACACCTTCTTCGATAACGATATAAAAAATGTTCGATTATAGTGCACGTGCTATGAGTGACGCAGACAGCACACACGAACACATGCTGAAATGAGTGCTGTGTCTGCCTGTGATGAGGAGATTGTGAATAAAAAAATTAATATTAGTTGAATTTAAAATAAACATTTGCATTTGAATGTTAGGAGTGCGTCAGGGAGCGTCATCAGTGGCACACGAGATGCAGTGATAATGATGTAAGTGACGTTGTTACATTTTAATGTTTTGTTAGTCTAGCCCATTCGTCACACAGATACGCTATTTTCATTCAGATCAAATCACAGCAACGTAGGAAACGGATCCGTGACGCAGCTGACACAGAACAGCATACGTTGTTTACGTCCAGCTGATACTCTCCAAAATGGCGCAACAGGGTGATGCGGAGGAGACTAATTGTTGAATAAAATCGTTATTTTTTTTTTCTTTGGCGCACAAAAAGTATTCTCGTAGCTTCGTAAAATTACGGTTGAACCCCTGATGTCACATGTACTATTTTACCGATGTCCTTGCTACGTTTCTGGACTTGGGAACATTTCAGTTGTATTGCTGTCTTTGCAGGGTCATAGAGCTCTCAAAAAAAATCTTAATTTGTGTTCCAAAGATGAACTTACGGGTTTGAAATGACATGAGGGTGAGTAATTAATGACAGAATTTTCATTTTTGGGTGAACTATCCCTTTAATTTAAAGAGAATAGACTTTGGATTGGATTGGATTGGATGTTTTATAGAAGAAGTGTTTTGGGGGGCTGTTGAAGTTAACTTAAGATGTGAATTAAATATTTTTGTAATTATTAATACTAGGGTTGCATGATTAATTGAATGCGATTGTGATGCGCATCTCGTCAGTAAAGCCGGTTCTGTGATTAGTAGTAAATCTCCAGCACATGCTTTCAGGTGGAGCAGCATTTACTACACAGAGCCGTAGTTCACTGACAAGTGACGCAAAATCGCGTTCATAATCGCAGACGATATATAATCGTGCGATTATAAAATCGAAGAAATCATTCTGCGATTATGAAGCTGTTTATGAAGCTTGTCAGTGAACTACGGCTCTGTGTAGTAAGGTCAAGGTCAAACTTTATTAAGATCCCTTGCGGGCAATTTGGATGCAGCGAAAAACAGAAGCACAACAGACCCATACAATACATTCCAAAACAGTCCATTCATGCTCGAAAACCCTCCAATGTGGCTGAATTAAAACAATTCTGCAAAGAAGAGTGGGCCAAAATTCCTCCACAGCGACGTGAAAGACTCAGGCCAGGGCCAGGCAGGTTTGGACAGCTTTTTTCCCTTAATAAATGAAATCATCTTTTCAAAACTGTATTTTGTATTTACTTGTATTATCTTGGTGTAATATTAAAATTTGTTTGATGATCTGAATCTTTTAAGTGTGACAAATATGCAAAAAATTAAAAAAAACAGGAGGGGGGGCCAACACTTTTTCACACCACTGTATACATAATTATTATGAAAGTAAAAATATTTAAATAAAATACAGTAAATTTCCCTAACAAATTCATTAAGGACCATTTAACAGCCGAATTGCACAGGGAACCAATGAATAATTGTATCGGTTGCTTTTCATCTTTGGTAGTCTATAACGAGAACCTGAAGGGAGTATAAAGAACTCTAAAGAACTCTGTGCTGCTCCATCTGAAAGCACGTGAAAATACCACATTTAATAACATGTTTTTACTCCAAACTCACTTCATAACATCAGTCGAGTGTTTTAAATAAATCCTTGAGATGATGTGACTTCTTACACAGAATAAGGTACGCAACATATTTCATAGTATTCTAAGCAGTGATAAAGGCTATGCCGATTAGCATTGCATTATTATATACTTTATTATAATAAGACTGACTCAGATAAACCATATATTGTCGTAGTCGTGTGTTTATTAGTCACGTTGAATTAATGAAAGCAGTTAAATCATCTGTTTATTCAGCAACCACTGTAGGGATTTCCGGGGTTTCTTCTGTGGGGGTATTTAGAGTTTCTGCGTGAGTGCGCCCTCTGGCCTTCAGGTGGAGATTTACTACTGATCACAGAACCGTGCTTCACTGAATGATACGCATGACAATAGCAGCATCTGCCTAATCGCGATTTTTCACCTTTGCGATTTAAATTCGATTAATCGTGCAGCCCTAATTAATACTATTATAATATATGTAATAGTGTGATATTTTCATGTAAAACTGCTATGAAATATGTAAAAAGTGCTAAAAATTGCATTAAAATTGTATATTCCATTTTATACATCACATTAAGATTTGAAAGGAAAAATAATTGTCTGTTGGTGTTAACACAATTCAAAGTACATACCATTTTCCAGATAATGTTTAAATAATTTGCTTTACCGCCAATACAGCGACAACATAAAAGCCAATTACTCTTGAAAACGCTGTTTGTAATATTGTGCTTAATATTTCTTTCGCACACCATAGATAGTAACTTTTTACATTTTAGGAAAGGGATCTCTTGCATCGTTTTTGGGTCCTTTGCAACCAAAATGTTTTAAAAGCCCTGTATAGGACTGTCACAATGTTTTCTTATGAGCTGGTGCTGCGACATGAATCATGAAACTGAAACCGCTAACCAACTCATGTTCACAATTGACATTTTAGGGAACTAATGTTTGTGTGCAATTCTTATCTGGGTGTTCCGGTTAATGCCGCTGGCCAGATATAAAAGGAAATCAAATCTGCTAATCACACTACCTAAATGATGAATGAGTAATTTGAGTTTTTATGGTAATGACTGGCAGAGTAGTGTGTAGGAAATAAGGTTGACCTGCATGCTGTTCAGGTAAAACAAGTAGCCATTTATTTAGAAGTCTTGTTGCTTGCGCTGTGTATATTGTAAACCAATGTACTGTTTAGCAACACCCAAGACTAGTGAAGGACACTTGCTAAGAGGATCTTCACTACTGCAAAGGCTCATACTCTATGCTTGTATTCATCTTTTTCATGTTACTTGCCATTTGCCCTGCAGACATAAATGATTCCTTAGATTGTTTTGGAGGAGTGTGTCATTTATATAAGTGACTCACATGTTAGGCTACATGTACAGATTTATGTATTAAAATATATTTTAATCTGGCAGATGATAAAACAGTTGGGAAAAAAATCTTAAAGTCCCCCTGTAGTGAAAATCAAGTTTTATGTTGTTTATTTGTCTATATGGTGTTTTTATTATGCCTTTAGACAAACCATGTGCCAATCTATTAATCAACACCCTTGCTGAGTATTTTCTCCTTAAAACTATAGTTTCCCAAAGGCTGACCCAGAAATACGGTTTGAAACAGCCCTCGGTTTGCTACGTCACAAACCAATAACCAATCACGTCAAGGGATCGATTCCTATCACTAGCATGCAAAATATACCAATACCAGCACAAAACCAAAAATAAATGAAAGCAAAAAAACCCTTGAAGCTGTGGTTTAATGTGCATTTAGAACCGCTAACTTGCATTATAACTAGGGATGCACCGATATGAAAATTTTGGCCGATACCGATAATCCTTTATTTTTGAAAGCCGATAACCGATATGTTGGCCAATAAATCTATATCCAAATTTTTATATACTTTTTGAGAGCCTGATTACAAAAAAGGTCTCATCATTAAAAACCACATCCCGAACACTTCAACATAAGCAGCCTAGTTTGAACGGTGTACGTTTTAAAAATATTTTTACTCTCCCATTACCAAATTTAGTCATAAAAAAAAAATTATGCAAACAAGTCATTGGACATCATTACACGTGTAAAGAATCAAAATGAATGCGCCATAGATCAATAAAACGGAATAGCCTCTGCACGGACAATAATTAAATGATTTTAATTACTAAACCATATTGCTGATGAAAATAATAATAGAAAAATACAAGTGGTTGTTATTATTAATAATGTATCAATGATTTTGAAAAAGTAACAAATTAATACCACTGTTTTAAATAGCAGCCGTTTGAGCTGCGAGCGCTGAAGCTGAAGAGCTGAATGAACATTGTAAACTGAAGCGTTTTGCTGGCAGCTTATTTAATTCAAGGAAATGCATCCTGAGATTAATATTAATACAACATAAACATAATATTACAACTTATATATGTACAAAATGATGCAGTTATTGCGTGCTATAGTCAGAATGTGTGATCCTGTTGTGGATGCGCTCTTCCCATAACAACGCGCTGAAACACGGCAACTAAACCCTATATACCAATACCAGCACAAAACCAAAAATAAATTAAAGCAAAAAACCCATGAAGCTGTGGTTTAATGTGAATTTAGAACTGCTAACTTGCATTATAATCCGCGGCAACAGTGTAAAAGTAGCCCGGAGTCAGACGCACCTCTCCCGCATCGGCGTCTGCACTTAACACGTGTATGCTCGCGGGTGCAAATTAAGAATCACAAACGGCTGTATTCAAGTCTTCAAGGCATTTTAGAACACAACATCGTCAAGTAAGCAACTTTAACGAAAGTTACAGTATTCACTGTAGTTGTCCACTAGTAAAAAGATAGTTTTATCAGTCATTATTCCGTGTATGCCATTGTTTTGCGTTTACTACAGTTCAGTGGATCAGGAGGCGCTGGCTGGTGTGTCTGAGTGGAGGCGGGACTAATTTGCATATTCATAGATCAGCGTATAGTAAATGAGGCAAGGGTGTAGAGTTGCATTCAAGCTATTTTAAGGAATGAGAAAATTTTCACAATTTTTTGATAAGCTTTTGAAAAAAGCAGCTCAGATTTCGCTCCCCCTGTGACGTAGTAAGGGGATTTTTTTAATAATATTACCGCCGATTAGTCTGTACCAGTTCTACAAACAAAATAGCGAAGTTCTAGCAAAGCATGCTAACTGTTCTGTCTTTGGCTGCACTGACGAAAACAGAACACTGTTCCTCAGAGGAGACAAGAGAGCAGTGGATTTATTTACTGTATATAACGCTGTTGCCACGCACATCTAATATAAACATACAAAGCTGTTTAACTTCACTGACATAATTCAACAGTTTTTGTAACTCGTGTGTTTTTTTTTTACATAAACTTGTCTGTATATGACAGTTTAAGCGCAATAAGACATAAAAGACATGAGTTTACTCGCATGCCGTGTGACAGACACTGTGTGCTTTCTGTTCAGAAAACCGTATATCAGAAGTTTGAACTAATACAGTTTAAAACTCGATGATAATCAAAACCAAACAGATGTTTTTTTAGGAACGAGCTGTAAAGGCATAGTCCTATTCTGGAAAAGGGGGCGGGGGACAGCAGCTCATTTGCATTTTTAAAAAGACATGCATGAAAACGGCTTGTTTCTGCTTGCACTCAAAATAAGCATTTTCAGAATGATGCAATAAATGATCTGTGACATATTACATATTGTAAAAAAAGGCATAATAGGTCTCCGTTAAAGAATGATCATGTGACTTTTACAGGTGACCTGTAAATGCAAAAAAAACTGTTTCCATTGCAGTTTTGTGACGTATTCCTTTTTTTTTTTTCTTATTTCCCGAAACCACCTCACGCGAACATAAAAATATATAATGAGCCTAATGTAAGTCATTGTTTTACTAACATTGAACTGAAACGGCTTTTGAATTTCTCTGCTTTTTATTATTGTGTGGGTCAATGACAAATAAAAGTGTCCAGGATAAAGGAAAGGAATTATTTTTAAAAATGTACTTTAAAACACATGTGCCAAATTCTTTGAAAAATACTCTTTGTATTAATTTTGGTTTAATGTGGTTTAAAAAACTAAAACTTTTATAACTTTTACAAGAACAATCCAAAAAAGTCACATAGTGTTACCATCAAATAATATCATTAGTACAGTTCACCCTGAGATGTTATACTCCCAAAAATAGTCAAAATAATTTCTAATGAAAGTAAAAAGATTTATTCCAGTTATTGTAATTTTGAATAAATTATTGATCAGGATCGTTGGTCCCTGAATGAATGCGCGCTGGTCAAGAGTGCATTTCACGTCAACAAGTGCTTAGTAAATCTTGGTTTTCCACAAGCACAAGACACTAGTCACCATGTTTCTGTTCTTGGCTCACAGGGATTTCCATCAAACAGTCATCAGATCACACATGATTTATCCTGAAAACCCTTCACCTCCATTGAGTTTTCCGTTTCCTGCTCGACACTCACTGACAAGAGAAACCCAGTTTCCCATCCACTGCAAAGTTATTTTCATGTTTTCATTATACATTGTGAATATGTATAGATATGGCTATATTAAATGGAAAAATTAGCATATTGCTATGTTTCTGCTCTGCACTGCTCATGGTCATGTGACGTTTTATCGTTGCACTGACTTTCTCTGGAGGGTTGTCAGTCTTTTTTTCAGTAGTATGAATGTTGAAAAGTAACTTAAATTTCCTTCCCTGCTCATGGATGAAGACAGTCATGTGCTGATGCATGTAATCTCTTGACTGTTTCTTAAGCTTATGCAAAATTCTGAAAGAGGAAGAGGCGACTTGAGAGGAAGTGATGACATAAAAGACTCGCCTACCGATTTCTAACCCGCTCTTAATTTTTCTGCTCAGATGAGATGACGGCAGACTGCTTTGGCTGTTTGAAGTGGTGTCCCTGTGGGCTACTCAGTGCTGAAAGGACAGGAGCAGAACCCGACAGTTACAGATAGACCGGTCTTTGGCTTCAGATCATCTGTTGTGCTCAGCGGCCTCCTGGTTGTCCATCAGGATGGTGCATTCAGCGTCACTCTGCGCCTGTCTGTCTCTTCTGACTGTCCTCAGCTGTCATTCTCATGTGCTCCCCCGACTCTCTTTTCCAATGGGTAAGGCTTATTTTTAAACTTGTGAAGATTTTGAACTATAATTTAGTAATTTACTATAACTTTTATTTATTTATTTTTAAATGCTGTTAGATATTTGAGTTACTTGTGAGCCGCTGTTGTTCTCTTTATCTTCAGCCCGTAGTGGTTATCAGGAGGTAAATTAAATTGCCATTTGAGTTAAACATACGTAAACATACCCTTAGGATGCTTTACATCCTCATATCAACATTGTAAATAATTGCATTTGAATGTATCTTTTAATAGCATGAATGCGACACCTTCGGATCAGTGCTGTTTTAGAATTATGTATTTACTTTTATAGAATTTATTAATATTTTGAATTAGCTACGTGTGTATTTTTTAATTTATTATTTACTATTTAATTTTATTACTATTTTTTTTACCTATTCATTTTTTTATACATTTATTGATTTTAATTAAATTTAGGTTTGAGTATTTTTATTATGTGCATTTGTCATTTTTATTTTTTTATATTTCTATTTACCTTAAAATTTGTTTTGTTTTGCTTCAGTTTTAGTAATTTTAGTACTTCAGCTTAACGAAAAATAAATGTAAATATTGCCTTGCCTTGCCAATGAACTGAAATTGTTTTTATCTAATATTTATATTTTAGTTTCAACTATTTTTGATCGCGTTAGTTTTAACCCTCTAAGCGCCAAAGTCGCTAAATTGTGACAAGACTTCATACTTAATAAAATAGACTGTAGTTCCTAATATGGTGTAATATCTCATTTGTATTCCCTACCACTAGATGGCAGACATGTAGCACTTCGATTCTAGACCAAAATTACGTTACGTTCCTATTCGAAGTGTTCGAGGAAATTGCAGAGCAAGTGAGCTATCGTGTCATTGATGCAGAAGCAGTTCAGTTCAGAGCGTGCGGGTAAATTGTGAGATTTGTGAGAGAAAATCACCAAATGGCTACTAAAAAGTTGTACCGTGAGGATGTGTTGCAAATGTTATTCCCCGATTCTGACTGTGAAGGGGAATATTTGCCTTTTGGAAATGACGATCAGTCGTCTAATAATCGCGCTTCTCCCGGTACATCTTTGCAGCGCAATGGTGCCACCGTGGAAGGCGAGAGTGTTCACGAAGCACAAACAAGTGATCATTTCGACCCTTTGCCCAATGGGGATGGGGGTGTTAGGGGTGAACGTGGTCATAGTGTCCATAGGAGAGCTGTTGCTAGAGGTAGAGGCAGCAGGGGTAGGAGAAATAGGGCTGGAAGTAGCACTAGCTGCCCCAAAGAGGTGGGAGTGGCCGTGGTACACTTGGCCGTGCTGTGCGTGGGAGAGCCGGGAGACGTGGTAGAGGCAGCAGGGGTGATCTGGATCTAAATAGAGCTGGAAATAGCGATGACAATGGTGGCTGGGTTTATTTGAGAAATGAAAAAGTGTATCAGGACTGGATCAAATGCTTTGATGAGCCTGTTGGTAATTTAGTACTTTCTCCTGTTTATTGTTGGTTTCGTCTTTTCTGATAATTTGGAATGAGGATTAAAAAAATAAAATAAATGCAAATAAGTTAAAACATCCATTCAATATCTATTATTTCCTGAATATTACTGATCAAAAAGTAGGCTACTACGCATGATCTGAAACATTAAAGTGTGACAAAAATGCAAAAAAATAAGAAATCAGGAAGGGGACCAACACTTTTTCACACCACTGTATATGGCAGGAAAATAAAAATCCCGTGTCCAGGGATTTTTTTTTGCCATGCATTGGTCATAGAGCTCTTTGGCGTTGAACAAGATTTGTTGCACCAAGTTCACACGTACTCCGTCTGCAGTGCGTATACAGTATGTGTATGCGATGCAGAAGCAGCACGGACTCATTTTGCTTTCGCACAGGACGCGTTTGCAGTCCGCTCCTGATCCGCGGCTGTTTACCACAAACACAACATTTATCCATTATTTTGATTTCAAATCCAAATGTTGTTTCTGAAAATGCTGTTTCAGCATTGTGATTCTCTTTTATCACAGTACAGTAATACAATCTTTCATAGACATATTCACGTTTAAATTCAATAAATAACTGTTTAACTACCACCACGAGTGCCATCTATTATTGCGTTGTTTATCTAAAAGTGCACTTTTTCTTGTTTTAAATCTAGCCAAAAATCCATGTGTTGACTGTGAAACAGTAGACTTTAATTATATGCATTTATGGTGTAATTACTCCATTTCCGTGTCAATCCATGTACATTTTTACCGTGAATAATGCGCTCTGCATGCAGCACAGCAGCAATAGACTCCGTGCGGAAACGATCGCAGCATGGCTGCTGCAGACGCACCGCTCCTGGAGCGCACTGCCGGACCGCAATCGCATGCAGTGTGAACGCTCTGATCCATTAACATGGGCGTGGACAAAATACGCACCACAGACGGAGTGTGTGAACCTGGCGTTACGTTTGTAGGCCCGCCCGGTCTGTTCTGTTCTCGTGCTCCATTTAGGCACGCTGCATTCTGATTGGTTCGGATGGCATACTGCGGGGAGGTCAGGGGAACGGAAAATCGTGCTGTAAAGCGATTTAGAAATCGATTTTTATGACTATTTCGATTAATCGCACAGCCCTACTTTGGAAATTAATTCAATATTAATATTTTCAAAACATGGACAACCAAATGGTGGGGTCAACATGCTGCAGTTTCATTAAAACTCACTTAAGTGCCTTAGTGCCATAATCAAATTATAATCATATAAAAAAAGATATAATAATAAAATAAAATATTTTTTTATCAATATTCTAATTTCTTGGTATCTGAATGCTAGCTTTAGTTTTTTTTATATATACTCTGTAATTTAATAATGAAATTTGTCACTGTCAGTATTGTTACTGCTTTAAATTTTTTATATATTTTCATTTTTTTATATTTATATCAGAAATTTTAAATGAGATCTGGTTTGAAATGAAGACAGTTTAATAATGGCCTTCACGGCTATGGAATGACCCTAGTGCACTTGGTTTAGCTGTGCACTGCAGTGACTGGTACAGGTACTTATTGAAAGACTTGGATTAGATGAGATGCTTAGCTGTGATTATGCCAGCAAGACCTGCAAAAACATGGCTAGTATTTTTATGTTTCACATATATGCAATGTGCAAGTTATATGTGGAATGTCATAATAATCAATATTGTTCATTAAGTTACATTGGAGCAACAAGTTAATTATTACGAGTATGTGATATAAAAATATTGATCAGTAAATTATAGTGTTTTTTTTTTTTGCTTTATTCAACATCAAGAAGATCAGGCCCTTTCTTTCAGAACATGCTTCATAACTCCTTGTTCAAGCTCTTGTTCTGTCCAGGCTGGACTATTGCAATGCTCTCTAGGCAGGTCTTCCAGCCACTTCTATCAAACCTTTACAATTAATCCAGAACGCAGCAGAAAGATGAATTTTTAATGAGCCAAAAAGAATGCACGTCACACCTCTGTTGATCAATTTGCACTGGCTACCAGTAGCTGCTCGCATAAAATTCAAGGCATTAATGTTTGCCTACAAAACCACCACTGGCTCTGCACCCCTTTACCTAAATTCATTACTTCAGAGTTATGTGCCCTCTAGAAGCTTGCGTTCTGCAAGTGAACAACGCATTATTTTGCCATCTCAAAGAGACACAAAATCACTTTCACGGACTTTTACATTAACTGTTCCCTCCTGGTGAATGACCTGCCCAACTCAATCCAAGCAGCTGAGTCCTTAACCATCTTCAAGAATCGGCTTCCATCTTTATTTGACCCTCTAACTCTAGCACTCTCTTTTCTTAAAAAACAACAACACCCTAACACTAGCTTTTCTAATCTTTTTCTATTTTATCTATTTGTTTTCTTTTTATTTATTATATAATTAACAAAAGCAAAAAGGCCTCTAACACTAGCTTGCTCTATTCTTTTTCTATTATATGTTTTCTTTTTATTTATTATATTATTAAAAAAAAAAACTTGCTACGTGTACTGCGTTAAGCTAACCGAGACTTGTCATTTGCACTTACATATTGTTGCTCTTTTGTTGATTTTGATTGCTTCTATTGTCCTCATTTGTAAGTCACTTTGGATAAAAGCGTCTGCTAAATGACTTAATGTAATGTAAAAACTAATGCTTATTATTAAGAAGTCATTAGTCATGCAGTCATTAAGCACTTTATTAAGAGATTATTGTCCACAACTTTGAGTCAGTCTGATTCAGTTTGACCATCAGGTTACACAAAATGTTCATCCACTTTTATAATTTGTGTATCTTTAAAATCCAACCGGGCTAGAAATGTTAGTACATTAAAAAGCTTTCTCTTGGACATGCAAAAAGCCTAAGAGAGGTCATTACAACAAATATCGTTCCTTGTAGAACATATTATTGCTCTGATTAGAAAGCATTGGACGTACGAGGAATGAAAGACCCTGCATGGACCCTCTTTAGAGGAACCTTCTCCTCAATGGGAGCTGTGATGCAGACGTCCTGAAATGGCCTCTTGATATATTTCTGAAACTTCTAGTTAAAGTTTCATTTCTCCTGTGGCCTCACAGTTACTTAAACAAGGTCCTTCTCTCGGGTTATTAAAATCTAGGAACTTGTAGCAGACTTTATTGGCATATAAAGCGGTCATTGATTTGACACATTTATAATACTGTTCTTTTATGTTCGCTTTGACGTGCATAAGGAGTTTAGTAATTTCATTTTCAAAGTTTTTATTGGTTTGATTGCTTAACAAACAGTGTTGCCACAGTATCTATGCAAAGAATTGGAGTGCTTACTGCATCAGCATCATTACTCCAGTCTTCAGTGTCACGCGATCCTTCAGAA